GCGGGGGAGCAGACCACCCGGCAACGCAGGGCCCTGCACAGCCGCCAAGCCCCGAGCCTCTCGGACACGTGCGCTGGTCAGCGAAGGCAGCACAGCGTCAGCCTGCCACAGCCAGCTCCTCCAGGCCTCTGCCGGCAACTCACCAAGGGCCAGGAGCGCTAACCGCAGGGCCGGCCACAGCCAGTGCGGACCCGGTTCTCACAGTGACTCCCTAAGGCACCAAGACAAGAACCGGGGACCGGTTACAACCCTGAGCAGGTGGAAATTCTACCCCCAGAAGGCAGTCCAGTGCTTTCTCACCCTGTTACAATTCTTGTGCTGTGTGGGTGGCTCACTGCAAGTGAAACCAGCAGTGGCTGAGCTGGGGAGAAGCAGCCAACCTCAAACTCTTCAGCTTATGGCAAATTCCCCCATGTCTAAGAGCTGGGGAAACAGCAGCAAGTAGGAAAGTCCCAGTGATATGTTAGTCACCGACTCAGTAACCTTCAAGCAGAGGACAAACACTGCACTGCTGTGAATACTCTGCTCTTATACAACGGAGCACAGACAGGACCATGGAAGCGGCTGATCCATCACGGAACTGGGACAGGAGCTCCTTAGGATGCCTGCCATGCTCCATGGACTGGGGCAGGTTTAGTGCAGTCATCCCTCTATCAAAGGCAGGCTGCGGGTCACAGGCTGGTACTATACCAACTCTTGCCATTACAATTGCATCTCTGCATTCAGAATACAGAATTTTAGGTCTCCTGGATAGATGGTCAGAATTTTATAGGAAGTATTCTGGCTAAAAGCACAAAAAGGAAACAGCTGTTCCTCCCCCAATGCAGCTAAAACCACCACAGCAGTCAGTTCCCACTCTGTTCATCTAGGGCTGCAGCCAGCTCTTCTTCTCTTTCATTTTGCAGTCTTGCTGGAGGGGTAGAAGGTGGCTGTGTGGAAATTTCCACGTTGTAGAAAGCCACAGAAGGGACGGGATGGAAGCAGGACAGCACAGGGGCCAACAGAGCAAAGCACCTTTGGCCAGAGTACAGCAGAGATGTAAAATTCCTCCCAACATCGCTTTCTTAGCTTGTCAAAGGAATGAGAATAACCAGGACTTAGCAAACCAGCGGTGCTGATAGTGGCTGTTATTAGGTACTCTGGGAACATTCACGGAGGTATAGCAATTTAGTACACTTTAACTTTGGTTAAGTGTGTTAGTCAGGTACCTGAAAAGTGCCCTCTTCCTCATTCAGCTGTTTTTTTCCTTTGCTTTAGAGCAATCTGCTTTGAGAGACAATAGTCCTGCAGCTGAAAACCAGAGCAGTTCATTGGTCTCATTGCTCTTTGTCAGCAAGTTCACACTGCGCTGTTGCTTGGCTTTCACCCTCGTCACTGCAGTTTAGTCAGAGGGGCCTTGAGGGCTGTGTGCCGTGGCTGCAACATCTGATGAAAAGCTGATGGCATGACACGGCTCCCTCAGTCATAGCACTGTGGTGAAAAAAATTAAAATTCCGGGTAACACGCGATCATGATACATCACCATGTGGGAGCCCGGGCCACACCTTATACTCGGCAATCGGCAGAGCGGGGGAAATGATCTGAGTCTGTGCGTGTGTGCATGCACGCGTGTGCCTGTGCACTGCACGGGCACAGTTCCCCTGAGAATTAGTCAAACACACCTATTCTTTGTGAAAGCAACTGTAGGCAAAATTACACACTTTGGAAGCACCTGTGTCAGAGCTAGAATACAAACTGCACAAATCATGCTCCTTAAGGAGTTTTCTATAAAAAAGACAGGGCTAGGAGAAAGCAAACTGTCCTCTCAGTCTCTATTCACTCAGGTGCTTTGTCACGTAATTCCACAGTCATAGGTAAACATTAGGGAGCAGGGCTTTGGAAGTCACAACCTCCTCATTTGGTTCTCACCCTTTGTTCCTTTGACCATGTCACTGCTAGAATGCAACATCTAAAAGGACTTGTTTTTTTAGACAAAGTTTGTAGCTCATGATGGATAAGCACTTAGACGTCCTTGCACCCTGCCTGAACAATGCACGGTTCCAAAGCAAGACGCAGAGACTAGTTATTTAAAAAGCTGACCCCTCCTTCACCCTAAATTAACTTGTCCCTACCCCCAAGAACTTGACCCCACATCCTCAAGCCCCTGCTCCATACTTGTCTCACTCTTGTCTTGTGGTTATTGTTAGTTTTCCACAGGCAATGACAAACCTTGTGATTGACAGGAATTTGCCAACAGCTGTTCCATACAGGTGCGTATTTCCAAGGAGCTAACACTGTTCAGAAAGAAAAGAAAGAAAAAAGAGGCAAGGCTGTGGCATTCCCTGCGAAGGAAAAACAGTGTTTCAGAACTAGCTTCTCCTGAACTGGGAATACACCTGCTTTTCTCAGGAACCCATTTCACCCATGGCTAGTCAGGTTGCTAATACTTGGTAGGCAGCCAGGTGTGAGATGTGAGGGTGGAGCGATTGTGAGCAATTAATAAATGGCATTATAACTAGGCTAAACCTTGGCATAAGCCTCCACCTGCACTGCAGTCTTACAAAACAAACTGAAAAACACTGAAAATACACTTACTACTATCAGCAATTCTCTGTCCTGGTAGGAGCCCTCCACTAGCTAACAAGGACAAGCCTTCGGGAACGAAGTTCCCCTCTCAGGAGGTAAGCTGCCTTTGCAAGCCCTGGCTGGTCCCCAGGTGTGGCTCAGGCCGGTACACCTCGCCGGCAGTCCTGAGAGCCAGCCCAAAGCCAGAACTCCCGCACACTCCGGGCAGATCACCATCTTAGGCCAGAAACCTGCCATTTGAAACCCACCTGCGTTTTAGAGCCCGGCAATAGCTCTGGATGGCAAAAGTGGAGGCAGTGGAGGGCAGAACATGAACTCAGCTCCCACTGCAGTCGTGCCCCGTGCCTGTCGCAGGACAGGGGGAGAGCTGAGCAGCCCCCCAGCCAGCCCCGCTGCTTATCACCAGTTCTGGGCTATGCCACGGCACAGGAACAGGGCTCCCCCTTCTCAAAGAGTTACAGTTTGATTTCACCAGAGAAATACTGAAGGGAGAGAGAGGAAGAATACCCACACATAGAAATGAGCAGACAGGAGGGCATAGCTATGTAGAAGAAAAGCCATGGAAAGGAAGAATGAAGCTGGGCTCAGCAGAGAAGTGCTGCAGCAAACAGCTTTCCAATCCTGGCCTGAGCAGACCGCTCCTGGCAGCTCCAGCCAAGTGCAAACCTTCCAGGAAGATTTCACAAAGAACAACAAGGGAGAGTGCAGGAGCAGAAGGGGAAAAAAGCACCACTGGTGTCCCTGTGCCTCCCTTAACAGCCCTGTGCTACTACAGCAAACAGTGAGTAACCCATTTCGGGTAGCTGCAATAACTAGCTGTGGGATTTTGCTTCAACTTGACTTTGCTTGGATTTAGGGAAGTGAGTCAGCTTAGTCATGAGGCAGACCGTGGCCTCTATGCATCTTCCTGATCCACCATTTCAGTGCAGGTTTGGTTGATGGGTCTTGGAAAGCCTGTTCATCTGTCTGCCTCACAGCCCTCCCACTCCACAGAATTTGTGCTGATGTTAACTGCAGCAATAACTGCCCCCATGCAAAGAACGAGTATTTCTGACAGAACTAAACCTCACCTGCATAAAAGTAAAATTCAACCTGGTATTTTCAGCAAAACCAAATAAATAACATGTTCATCAGCAACTCAGCTACAAGCAGTAAGATCTTTCACTAACCACCACCTTAGTGAAAGTCAGCTACAAACCAGTGCCTATACAAATATTAACTATCACATCTAGATACAGACACAGTGAGTCTTCTTCGGGGGCTTACACACCATTTTTTACTGCTGCAAAATGGACGCATAGATACCTCTACTAACTTGGCCAACCTGAACTTTCAAGTCCGATTTGCAGTACAAAAATCTTACTTACAAAACACATTAAACCTGTTTCTGTGCTTAGCATTATGGTTTCCTTCCTTATGAATGGCAATGCAAATAGAGTTTTCTAAATAATGAGAATACACATATATATTTTAATACACATAAAATTACTTAATGGTTCTTAACTATTTTATGCCACTGCCAGCATACTAGGGTGGAATTTACCATACCAAAATATATGATAATGCCCCAGAAAAGTTTAAAGTTGTGAGTAAAACTTTTGGAACAATTATCCAACAAGAAGTATATGCTGCCTTAAAGCTGCAGGCATAATTCCCATTCTGACTGGACAATAACAAGAAGCTGAAAAAATGCTCCATCAATTTAGGAAGTCTGACCATAAACTGGATAAACTTTCTGGGAAAACACTGCTTAGAAATGTCTGAGTCCATTTACAGCTGTAGAGGTATGAAATAACTCTGCTTGCTTCTACAGAATAGGAAACTAATCATCAATAATAGCATTGCTTAAGCCCAAATGACAGTAATCTTTATTTCAGGTCTTGATTGAGCAAGTACAGAAACATACTCCACGCTGAGGCTAGGCCCACAGGACCTCCCTCCTTCCCTCTGCCCCCCATAAATAAATTATGAAAGCTGTGTGATGCTGTCAGTGCAAGTCAGTCACTTCCCCTTTGACCTGCACCTACATCCGACTTCCAGTTGCGTCAGCACCTTCCACATCACCTTTGTGTGATTCCCACACAACATACAGAGCCAGGGCAGTAACCACAGGAGCTGTACTGAGAACTCCCACTTCATGCAGCTGCTGCTCGCTTTTAGAGAACAGTCACGGCCAGAGAAACTCTAGCTCTGGCTTCACCCCCCGATAGAGCTGTAGCTGCAATTGTTAAGTGCCAATGCCTACTGTCCCCCAGGCACCTGCATCACACACCAGTTGCCAGCCCCGCAGCAGGCATGAGAGTTACAACCCACTGAATCCATGTCCGAACTGTAGCAGCCCTCACTTCAGACAAGATTGGAAGAACAAGCAACATTTCAATTTGCCATACAGTTTATTTCCAAAGACTGGTTTGGTTCAGTCTTCGCAAGTGTGGCTAGGCTACCTTCATGTAGCAGTTGTCCTCCTGGGCAAGGGCTTGTACAAATTTCTTTTTTTTCTCATTCTTCCTGTTGTTTTCCCTCAATAGTTCTGCTGGTCTTTTTTTAACTGCAGGTGCCAGTCTGGAACCCTCACTATGAATGGCGTGAGAATCAGAAGGACAGGAGTTATCCACAAAAAGAGGAGATGACGACTTGTTTGAGATCAGGAGCTCCAGGGGCTCTGCAGTTTTCCCTTCTAAGTTTAGCCCAATGCTGTCCAGTGATTCTTCTGGTAAGCTAGCTGCTGAGCCACACCTCCTGCCTTCTGCATGCTTTATCACCTCTTTATTTTCCCCTGCATTTCCAAATTTCCTCAAGTGATTGTATGTGTGGCAGTGTAAGTCAGCATTTACTCTGTTACTGCTGCTCTCTTGCATTCCTTTACCAGTATAGTTAAAGCTGTTAGGTTTTGTCTCCTTTATAGTTCTTTCTCTGCTGCTAAAATCTTGACAGTTCAGCTCTAACAAATGCAACAGCTGTTCATCTCTGCTGGCATTTTCATCTTTGCTATCACTAGACAGCTCATTAGAGTTGATGATCCAAAGGCTGCCATTGCTGGTCTGTGTGACATTCTCACTAGAGGCTAAACCTGGGACAATGCTGCAGTCAAATCCCTGTACAATCAAACATACGTGGTCATCTGTCCTCTGGTCAGGTTCACAGATTATGGTATCTGGAGGTGTTTCTCTGAGGTTGTTGTACAAAAGGCGAATGAAGGGTTCATATAGTGACCTAGAGATAACCGCACTGTCATTGTCACAGTACGTACCATTACATTTAACTGCATTACCAAAAGGTTGATGACCAGATGGTTGAGGTCCAATGGGGCAAGAAATTACATCAGCTTTCTTTTGAACATTTTGATATGTTACTTGCTTATGTATTTCTCCTTCGGGTAGGAAAGCTGAAGCACTGTCATTTGCATGTACAGAGAAAGTTGGAAAATCAGCATGTTCTGAACAGGTGTTTTGAAAATTTAGCTCAGTGCAGGGAGATCTGTAGTTGGTATAGCATGTCTGATTGCTAGGGGGTCGATAAATGTGATCCCTGTAGATAAGTTCTAGTGTCTCTGAAAACTGTGTCAAAGATGGTGAGGAGCAGGCATTTTCAAAACACACAGTCAGGTTACTGTTAGCCACAGACTGAGACATAAGGGTATCAAAGCTCTTGTAGGCAGAACCACAGGGCTCCACAGATGGAGACACAAGGGTGTCACAGCTCTTGTAGGCAGAACCACAGGGCTCCATGGATGGAGACACAAGGGTGTCAAAGCTCTTATATGCAGAGCTACACAGCCTCATGGATGGAGACACAAGGGCATCAAAACTCTTGCGCGCAGGGTTGCTTATTCTGTCTTTTTTGGTCCCAAAGGATGGTTTATTTGGAGATTCCTGGATCAGGACACATGAGTCATGCTGACTTTCAGCACTGCATGGAAAAAGGCTTTGGTGAACCGTATGTTGAAGATCTCTTGCACCCAGAGAAGCAGAATTTATGCCAGAGCTCTGATAGCCAGATTCAAAGGATTCTTCTGATTGTTCTGACTTCTTGCTGGCTGTACTACAATTGTAGTCATCTTGAGGGGCTTTGGTGAAAAGCGAGACTGTATGAGAAATATCACATGGCTGCTGACTCTGGGCTGCACTTTCTTTTGGATTTCGCTGTGATGGATTTTCTGACTCAAGTTTCTCAGAAGTTTTATTCTCACCTGTGATGATGTCTGGGTCTTTATCATCTTGCATGTTGTTTTCATCTGCCAGAAGCTCAATAAACATTCTAGCTAGTGCATCATTGTGTTCAGTGTGCTCTCTGGAAGCACTGACACAGCTCTCAAAAGGCTCAAACTCAGTGATCTGGTCACTAGTTTCTTCCTGGCTCTCAGCCTCACTGTCTGTTAAACATTCACAGATTTCTATAGACTCTTCAACCAGAATTGTCTCAGGGGTTAAAACTGCACTGCTGCCTTTTGGAAACCACTCTCCAGACTTGCTGTGGCAACTGCAAGATTTCTCAACATTTCTGATGTTATCTTTTCCCTTGAAGTTTTCGCTTGACAAACTTTGAGCCAGACAGTTCTTGCAACTTCTGTTTTTGAAAGTCAAAAGAAAAGGACAGTTAATGTTTATGTAATAGGAAACTATTTCATGCTGTAAAGCAGAGGGTTTTGTTTTTTTCCTTTATCTTACTTACATTTGGTTTTCCATATGACTCTGCTTTAAGTCATGGAAAGGGAACTTAATTTCATCAATGTAGTACAAAACTGAAAACTAATAAAGATACAAATGAGATTTAGGACACATGTGAGTTGTATTTAGTATCCCCTGCACTAGCCAGACAATAGCACTTATTAGATATTCTACTTCTGGTGATCAGGAAAAGGTATTTTTTTTGCAAAGCTTTTAAATTACCTTGACATTTTTTACGACCAAATGGCTCTTTGCTGGATTTGGGATTTGATCCCACCACTCTTTCTTCACTCTGCAAGGTAAGAATTAAAATGGTTTGCTTTGATTGCATTTTGGCTTCATCAGTGTACACTTTCCTCTTCTGTTCTTCTCTCCCTCTTAGCCATCTGCATTGCAGCAACACGAAGTGCTTGTTCAGTGCATCTCCAAGTGCTGCTTTTCATTAAACTAGTGCAAAGATGTTTACATGTTTGGTGCGTGACTGATCTGCACAACCACAGTCATATGTTCTTCTAATCATGTTTGAAATCATGTGCAAAACAGATAGAATCCCACTTTCACATTACCACTAAAAAAATTCAAAAAGAAATACAGATATATAACCATCATTCCTGGAACTCCAGCAAAGACTGGGGTCCAAAACTGACAAACCCCACTAACTGCAGCCTGTTTTGGATGCTATAACAAGTCTATTCTAGTAAGATTAATAGAGAATAGTCAGTTATCTATTCAGAAAATGACTGAGTGCAACTGATTCGTGTTTATAAAACATTTGCTCATAAAGAGTGAGATAAAGGTGCTAAGGAAAAACAAAACATTAGATTCCTGGACTACTAGACATTCAGCTAATCAACAGCAATACTGATATCTGTGCAAACTGCTACTCTATAAAACCTATGAACAGTATGATACATACTTGGTAAAACAGAAGTAACAAATTACAGATACTGCCATGATCAGTATGCAGGATACAGGGACAGCCATCTGCAGAATGTCCTCAGTTGTTACTTGGTAATCTGTTAAATAAACATATACATTTACATGTGTATGTGCACATCAATACAAGTACTGGTGATACCAAATTCATTACTCTTCTTTTGCACCTTAAAAAAACGGACCTTTAGAGGATGTAAAATAAAGCCTCCAGCAGAAAAACAACAGAACATACACAGCTACCACTGGTGATGGTGTGTGGCACATCTGAAAGATCAATGCAGGTACTGTAGTTGGTAACTGTGAGCGATAGCAGCTGGGAGAGCCAACATGTACTGTGAGGCCATTTGTCAGCTCTCGGGGACAAACCTGTTGTGCAGTCCCTAAAATAGCATCATCATCTCCACTGTAGTGCAGCTATACTTCTTGTCCTCTCTGTTGCTCTTTAGAGATTTTTATAAACCCTCAGCCCTCTGATGGTTAAAGTACTGCTTAATTTGCAGCCTAAATCTCTCTTGTTCATTTATACCCATTTGCTCTTACATCAATGCTGTTCTTTAATTTAAATATCTCTTCTCCTTCCCTGGTGTCTACTTCATGAAACATTTATAGAAAATAAACACATCCCCTTTCATCCTTTTTTTCACAAGGCTAAACAATCCAGCTTCCCTTGGTCTTCTCTTCCTTAGTCTCTCTAGGGGTTGCCTTTTTATATTTAGTTTCTTTGGAAGTCTTTACAGAAGTATCCACAACACATTCAAAAGGATGAAGAGGATGATTGCATAAACTCCCCTCTGAGAGGAAAGCAGCCGGCTATATATGACATGGTTTATAAAAACTATACCACCCTTTTATCAAGCTGCTATTTGTTACGGTACTTACCATAGTGAAATTCAACTTCTTCACTCCATTCACTCCAGTAGGCCGGGTATTCGGTATAGTTACATCTTACACTTGCAACGTAATCATAGCCTCTCCTCAAGGAGCTTGCAGTAATTTCAAAGCTTTTTGCCTGGTAGTTAATTGCTTTCACAGAAACCTGAAAAGAAAGTGAGAAAGTTCACTTTGATTTCTTTATGAGGTGAAGGGTTAGTGACAGCAATTAAATAACAATAGTATTATGTGTTTCAGCGACCTTTCACAAATGAGCAAATGAATGACTGTATACCTAATCCGCTGTGTGCAATACTGCATTTTGTCATCATGAGCAGGTGGTATTTGTGACCATGCGTGTTCTTCCCCTACCAGAAGAAGCCCAGCCCTAAAGTGCAGATTGTTCAGGAGGGTCTCTGAAATGCCTCAAGTGCACCATGGAGTCACGAACAGCCTCCAGCTTCGTGATGTCTAAGGAGCAAATGAAGTTCAGGGAACAGAAGCATTGTATTTTCAATCTCTGCCCTGTCTACTGTGAGCAGCAGACCATTTTGGGGTGGCAGTCAGAAGAGTTTCAATCCTTTAAAGCCCAGCTGAACCACCTTGGGGCAATGTGACCTGTGGCAAGCGTGTGATCAGAAACACTGTGGGACTTGGCCTCGCTGGCCCTTACACCGTTATTCATAAAATGGTTTCAAGACTTTTCAGAGGACTTTTTACACCTGAAAGCTGCAGAGAGACAGAAAATGAAGAGACTGGCTGTCTCTTACCTCTGTCGGGTGTTGCTTCCTCCAGTATTTCACTTCATAGATGACCGGCTGTCCAGAGAGCATGGATGGAGGAGAGTAGCTCTCCTCCCAGCTCAGATTGAAATTACCATTTTCAACTTTCTCAATGGCAAGATTTTTGGGGGCCCTTGGCTTAACTGTATGTTAAAAAATACAATTAAGGAGAACATGGCAACGGGAAAGCACTGATGGAGACAAGCAGAGAGACAAACATTCACCAGAGACCAGAATCTCATCGCAGTCAATGCATTCAGCCCTTTTCACTATGCTGTAGCACAAGGATATAGAGGCCAAAACTGAGCAACTGCAAGGTATTCATTAACAAGCACTGAATCTTCAAGCTGGCTTGAAGTTCAACCTTTTGGTGCACTGAATGCAGCTTTCAGCCTAGAAAAATGGGAATAATCTGCACCCTTGCAATAGCATGCTGTGCCATGGGGTAGGCTCAGAACTTCTGACAACTTCACAGCCAGGCTGTCCTGGCTACCTGTCTCAAAAACTGATGCAGGCTCCTGCTTATTCTGCTGATAAGCAGCAGCAACAATCAAGTATTCTGAAGAGAACCAGCTCATTAATGCAGACGAATGCCTGCCTAAGGTACGTGAATGATTTCTCTGAGTGTTTGAGGTGACAAGTAATAAGCACACTGTTCAAAACAAACTAGATGCCTATTGAGAGACATAAACTGTATCTACATTCTGTCCTGCGAAACAGCAGAGTTATTAACTTTTTATCACTGGTTGTTATAATCCACCAGCAATTACTGTAAACATCTCTGCTCAGGGGGATGATTCAACTAGCATGAAAAATCAGAGTATGACAGAGACAGGAATGGAAGAAATTTCACTAGGGATAACCTAGTGTCTTTCTAGAAACTGGAAGTAGCACATTCCTCTTCATCCTTGAATTCTACAGCCACAAGTAAAATGCACTAAAGATGTGTCTACGTGCCCAAACTGCTGCTGACTGGCAGCTGAGAGGGTACAGCTAGAGGAAGAATCACTCTCTGCTTGCCCCATGACTTATACTCTTTCCTTAAGAATCTACTCCAGAATCAGGTTTCTAAGCCAAATGGATTTTGCATTTAAGCCAGCATGGCACTTTTCACCTCTGATACAGAAAAAACTGTTCCAGTGACATGAATGTGGAGTTAACTAGGATTGCAAAGCCTGGAAAGAGATGTCCCAGTGACAAAGTAAACAGTTTCTTACCAACCAGGGCTGGTGTAACACTGTAATTCCACATATCAGTCCCATTAAACTGTAGAGCTAGATTATACGTGAGGCCTGATACAAAATAATCTGGACATATTGTGCAAGTGCACCTTAAACTGTCTTTTCCATTCTCAGGGACACAGACATCATTCCTGAAAAACAGGCAGAAAATTATGTGATGTTTAGAGAGTGTGGCACACTACTTCTTGAAAAGGGGAAATCAAGCTTCCCAATGTGTAGAGCTAATCAAATCTGAGACAAACAAGCTCAGTTCCTAGAAATGTTTAGCCCAAACAAATCCAAACCAAAACTAAGCTCCCCCAAACTCCCAAACCACCCACCCTCTCCAAACACCTCTTGGCTATCTGTATCGCACAAATTAAAAACTTGACAGAAAAGCGAAGGATTGATTCCAAGAGGAAAAATTAACACCCTTCATCACACTTCAGTCTCTGAAGGGGTGGACTGACAGCTTGCTAGTATAGGAACAGGTTTACTACAATGTACAAAGTGAGGTTCTTTGGATGTCTGTGTGGAGAAATCACATAGAGAGGAACAGGAGAGCCCAGATGCATCTTCCTTTCTAGAAGATGATGATGGGCCCCACTGCAGAACAGGGACAACAGTCTGTGTTTGAACACGGACTTAGACTGTATGCAGAGATAATCACCTGGGCTCCAGGGGAGAGTAACTTTCACACAGGCTACAGACTGGTAAAACCAGTAAGATTCTCCTGAAGGAGGTAAAATTTTGCATGAAATGAAGGTTGGGTAAAGTTATGAGAGCCCCACTGCTACAAGTAGGACTTGATCACACCTCTGTACCAAGAGTGCAGAGGGGTCTGCAGAAGAGTAGACTACTGAACAGAGAGTGCTGTTAATTGAAGCAACGCATTTTCCTCCTGGCAAGAAGAATAATCCTCTGGATTACATTTTGTCCCAGACATCCATGGTAAAGGGAGGGAATCAAAGCTGATAATGGCTATAGGATATATGAAGATCCAACAATGCTAATGTAACATCTTATTAGACACTTACCACGGAGAACAAAATTCCTTCCCGTAGTACAGCAGG